TAGTGGGGGGACGGTGGGGTGGGTTGGTGGGTGGGTGAAAGGGGGGATTAGTGGGGGGCGGGACGGTGGGGGGTGGGTTGGTGGGGGGGTTGGTGGGTGAGGTGGGGGGTTAGTGGGGGGGGGGCGGTGGGGGGTGGGTTGGTAGGGGGGTTGGTGGGTGAGGTGGGGGATTAGTGGGGGGGGACGGTGGGTGGTGGGTTGGTGGGTGGGGGGTGGGTGAAAGGGGGGTTAGTGGGAGGGGGACGTTGGGGGGTGGGTTGGTAGGGGGGTTGGTGGGTGAGATGGGGGATTAGTGGGGGGGAGGACGGTGGGGGGTTGGTGGTGGGGGGAGGTTTGGTAGAGGGAGGGGCAGTGGGGGGGGGCGAGCACACTCACACGCAAACAAATATCACACACGCACCACGCTGACGCACCACGCACATCACACACACACACCACGCACACCACGCACGCACACCACACACGCACCACGCACACCACACACACACACCACGCACACCACGCACACGCACCACGCACACACACCACGCACACCACACACACCACGCACACACACCACACACACCACGCACACCACACACACACACCACGCACACCACACACACCACGCACACACACCACGCACCACGCACGTGTAAGAACACCGCCTCCTCTTCTTCTTCTCGTCGTGTGGCTGGCTGACGTGGTCGCAGAGGGACAGCTACAATGCCACGTTCAGGTGGCGAAGTCAGCAGAGAATGATCATAGTGATGATGATGCTGTTGATGGTGATTATATTGATAGTGTTGATGGTGGTGATGATGATGCCACTCCTGATGATAACGGTGTGAATGGCTGACGTGGTCGCAGAGGGACAGCTACAATGCCACGTTCAGGCGGCCACACCAGCAGAGAATGATCATAGTGATGATGATGGTGTTGATGGTGATGATGTTGATAGTGTTGATGGTGATGATGATGCCACTCCTGATGATAACGGTGTGAATGGCTGACGTGGTCGCAGAGGGACAGCTACAATGCCACGTCCAGGTGGCGAAGCCAGCAGGGAATGATCATAGTGATGATGATGATGGTGGTGTTGATGGTGATGATGTTGATGATATTGATAGTGTTGATGATGATGCCACTCCTGATGATAACGGTGTGGCTGGCTGACGTGGTCGCAGAGGGACAGCTACAATGCCACGTTCAGGCGGCCACACCAGCAGAGAATGATCATAGTGATGATGATGGTGTTGATGGTGATGATGATATTGATAGTGTTGATGATGATGCCACTCCTGATGATAACGGTGTGAATGGCTGACGTGGTCGCAGAGGGACAGCTACAATGCCACGTTCAGGCGGCCACACCAGCAGACGGACCGCCGTCAGTTAGCGGCATCGTCGTCATCAACATCATCGCGATGTCTTCCTGCGCATTTGTGGATTCGGGTTAACTGCGTCATCGTTGCCACTGCGGTCTCGCGTTTCTGGGTGACCGCACACCACAGCGCTCAGTCAGGCGGAGGGGGGCCGTGGGGTGACGTTGACCTACGGGCGCTTGTGCCAGGCTGGCAAATGCACCGCCCCCCCCCCCCCCACTGTGACAACGCTGCAGCAGCGAGCACGCGAACCAATAAGCACTGGGGGGGGGGGGGGGGGGGTTCGTGCACACGCAACGATGCCCGGTGTAGCCTCTGACGGAACGTGGGGGGTGGTGGTGGGGGGCAGGCACGGCACACGAGGGGGGTGGGAGGTCAACGCCACGCCGGGCCGCCTTTGTCTCCCCTCGTGCCGATATTTACACATCGGTATTTTCGGGTCAATAGCCAATCGATTCATGGATCGAGTCATGGTGTGACAGCCTCCCCGGCCCCCCTTTCTAATAGTTAACTGAACATTTATTTTAAAAAAATGTGTATTGCGATTATGATTTCGTCGCTGTTTACGTTGATGCGAACCCGACCCGAGGAGCTTCTTTGCCCACAGGACCCACTCCCCCCTTTGCCGTGGCTCACAGTTCCTATGATCACTGTTTCATTGGTTTCGTGGCTTTATTTTGGTGATTTCGAAAAGTGTATTGCTTTGGCCATGTTTGTTTGTTGTAGTACAGAGTTAGACTGATGGCCTTAATCTAAGTTGTCTTGTGGTTGTTGTTGGTTGTTTGACTTGCATCCCACTGGGATATTTGCACACAGTGTTGGTGTACGGTGATTTTTCTGCAATATTTTGCTTCCTTTTCTTGGATTTTCTGTTTGCACTCAGTCACATATTCACTTTAAGATGTTTTTTGTTCATGTTTTTGTTTTTTGTTTGTTGCCGTTGCATCCGATTCAAGAGCCGAATGGCTCACAGGTCTACACCTAATACATGAACTTGAACTTGGGGCGCGAATGGCCAGCCGGATGACCTCGTCGACGAATAGCCTCGTGCGAATAGACAACCCCTTTGAAAGAGATGGATAGCCTCATATTTATCGATAGGTCATCTTCACCTTCGGTGAGCACGGGTGGCTACGTACGGTGCGAAAGAAGTTCACCATACGTGCATACAATACACAGATATATGACCAAATATATATGCAGAGGACCTAATGTATCGATTGGTGACATAATGTATAGATTGGTGACCTCATATACCGATAGATTGCCGAATATATATTTGACCTGAAATAGATGCCCTTCAAAGAGATGTATGACATCATATACGGAGATTGCTGATCTTGAGATATAGAAAATGATTTGTATTCATAGGGCAACTTAAAGTGTCCTTACGTCTCAACGCAATCCATTCACAATGCCCTGCTACAGTCGAGCCAAGGGGACCTCTATGGCCAGCTGCCCCTGTGCGGTCTGGAAAAGGGTACAAGGCTCGCCAGCGTGGAGAGAAACTAAACTAAACTAGATATTTATTTTCTTGTTTTTTTCGGTAAAGTCACGAAGGGAAATAATAAAAATAAAACAATAAAATTCTCACGACGTGTCAATTGCAACACAAGCAATCATCATCAGGTGTGAACACCACTTTTTTCAAATTTTAATGCGGTGGGTTTCACACCTGATGATGGTTGCTTGTGTTGCAGTCGAAACGTCGTGATAATTTTATTGGTTTTATTTCTATTATATTATTATTTCCCTTCTACGTGACTTTACAGAAAGAACCAAGAATATGAATCCCTGCAGTCACGAAAGCTTTAAATCGAAATGTATATATTTATTATCAGGTAATGCCCACTGAGCTCCGTAACTTTTTTTCAGGGGCGACCTGGCAATCACAAATGATAGCTCAACGAAGTTGGCTTATCACGTGGACATGTTGAGCAGCAGCAAACTACTCTAAACTCAGGATGTTGATTTTAAATGTGGAGGGGGAAAAATCCGGAGGATCCGGAGAAAATTCCACGCGACCACGGGGAGAGAGAGCGAGACACGCAAACTCCAAATATGCAGGCGTCGGGGTCGAACCCACGACCTCCTGTATACCAGGCGAGGTAGTTAACATCTTACCACCCGTAGCGCCTCGATGCAGTGACGTGACCAGAGCGATATGAACACTGGTCATAAAAAAAAACATGTTTTTCTGGCCTGGACTTTTGCAGCTGCTTTAGACTAATTTCAGGGTGCTGATTCCAAATCTGATCTCAGATTTGCTCAATCACATCATTTTTATGCTATCGGCATACCCCATTTTCATTGATTTTACCCGAAATCAACTCCGTCACTTATGATTGCAAGTTGTTGCGAGTCAGTGACTGCTTTAGTGTTAAAATATGGTGCTGTATTTTTAGGATAGTGTGTTTAGAATATAATTTTAAGTAGATATCCACATTTATTTAATATTTTTCTTCTGCAGTTTTTATTAAAAATGCAATATTTGATACCTCAAAGAATCATTGTATGTAGATATCCAGTTATTTAATATTTTTCTTCTGCAGTTTTTTTTGAAAATGCAATATTTGATACCTCAAAAACCTGATGTGATAGACAAAAACTGATGCCAGATTTGGAATCAGCACCCCAAAATTACCTTACAACCGTTGGAATACCTTATGCCAGAAAAAGTGCGTCGACCAGTGGAATCAGCGGCTGTCCGTGACTTTAAAGTCTGTTCAGGGTGTTGTGTTTGTTTGAAATTCGGCACTCTTCAATCAACGGCCGCAAACACGCGGCCTGGGGTTATATCGACAAGGTTAGGAGCCATGGAGATCTTCAAATCTGGTTTTGGTGATTCGGCCTGATGTCCGACGTTTTGCACCACGTGCTGGGTGATATTTTTCAGAGGGTCCCCAGCACCGTGGAATGAAACGTCGGACACCGTGCTTGGAGAAGCTCCCAGCAAAGAGCCCGTTGACCCGGCCACACCGGACGTCTTTAAAGAGCTTCATAACTTATCGGATTCCTCCGGTCTAAATACAGATTCCAATGATCAGAATTAAAGGCTTCATGGTCAACCGCAGTCTCCGAATCTTTATTCTCCCCTCCATCTCTCGTTTGGCCTATTTATTTCCATGCTCTGAAGAAGGGACCTTACCCGAAATGTCACCACATTGTTACCTTTTAAGGACACACACACAGTTCATCTTCTTGGTTCTTTCGGTAGTCACGTAGAATGGAAATAATAAAATTAAAACATAAATAATTCTCACGACGTTTCGGCCACAACGCAAGCAGCCGTCCTCAGGTGGAGAACAGGTCTGTCGAGAAGACAGAGTCTGAATGACACACCCCAGGCTTGGAGCGTCTTTTTAAGCTGGGATGGAGGGGGGAAGAGCGCCTTGACAAAATAATTTGCATATCAAGAGGAATTTAGCATATTTATGGGAAATGCAGATATGCGATTAGTACTACTTGTGAAATGCGTAGGAGGTTTAAAGTCATATTAAACACACACAGTTGTTGACAGGGAAGGTGTTGAGATGTTGTTGTTTGTACACCCACTTACCACCAACGCAGGAGCAGCAAAAAATCAGAACCATAACTTCTCAAACAAATCGCCTCCACTGGGTACACCAACAAATGACACGGGACATCTTTCTTTCCGTTTATCGTGCCGTATAAAAATAACGGGAGTTTTATTTCAAACAATCATTTGTTCCATCTCTCGTTGAACTCACCCGCCTCACTCTCGTTACTTCCATTGATTCCGAGCGGCCGTGTTCCGGAACGTCCGGCCAAGTAGCATGAACTGTGACGATCAAAACTTCTTTGTTCGGTTTAGTTTCTGATCAGTCCACCACTGGTGCTTGACCATACTTTACCATGCAGGTCAATGAGGGTTGATGAAGGGGCTGGTGGAGAGTGGCAAGCAGGATCCGTTCAGATATCCGTCGCCACTGATGTGAGCCGTTGCCAGAATTGTACCTCAATTGGTCACGCGGCGTGCTAACCACTGCACCACCATCCCCCCCCCCCCCCCCCCCTCTGATCCAGAGGTCGCAAACGGGTTTTGATTCCTTGCCCGTACACGTACCCGGCCGCACCAGTACCCAGCCGGGTACGGGTACCCGTTCCCTACCCGAAATGAGTGACAAACGGTTACTCACCAGTGACTCACGGCCTACCCGTACCCGGCCGCACCAGGGTCGCAAACGGCTACCCGTACCCGGCCGGGTAGCCGGGTATCGGGTACCCGGTTGCGACCTCTGCTCTGATCACGTGCAGCCTCTTTGTCAATCCACTGCTAGATGATGGCCTCCCCACGCCATGCAAGCCTGCGGGGTGCATTCGGCCACACTTCGCCACCCCGGTGCCAGTGTGGGTGGGCGTAGAAGTGAGCGCATTTCTTTTGCGCGGCGTGGGAGCGGTGGGGTTCAGCGGTTGGCGCGGCCGCGCTACCAACGGTGGCGACACGAGTTCGATTCCTGGCCAGGGCCAACGCCAAGTGGAGAGCAAAATCGGAACCAGTCCTGGACCCTGGCCCCCGCTTAAACCTTCGCCAACCCCGCACTGAACCAGTGCGGGTGAAGTATGGTCAAACAACGCGCCCGTAACCACCAAGGGGCTCCATGGTGGCGGGATGTTAACTAGCTGGAGTTTACGGGTTCAATCCCGACCCTGACGCCTGCTGTGTATTTGGAGTTTTCATGTCTCTCTCTCTCATCACCATCACGGTGGCTAGGAGATGTTAACTACCTCGCCTGGTATACAGGAGGTCGTGGGTCCGATCACGACCCTGACGCCTGCTGCTGTGTATTTGGAGTTTCCGTGTCGCTTTCTCTCCCCCGTGGTCGCGTGGGATTTTTTCTCCGGGTCCTCCGGTTTTTTACCCCCCTCCACATTTAGAATCAGGATCACGCGTTCAGAGTATTTGGCTGCTGCTATAAGTTTCCACACGACGACGACGATAGGGCACTTCGTTGAGCTGTTATCGTTTGCGGTGGCCAGGTAGCTTTTGAAAAAATAAAAAGAAAGCTGTATAGCTCAGTGCGCTTACCTGGTAAAATAGAAATGTGTTTTATTTGCTTAAGTGCTTAAACGTGAAGCCCGCGCTCGCCCACCCGCCAGCCAGCCACGAGAGACCGCTACATCCACCGCAATGCTGAGCTTCGGAATCGATCCACAAACCAAAACGGCGAGCCCAGAACAGAAGCAACGGTGCGGCGACGCGCGACGCATTTACACCTTGAGTGGTTGCGTGTCAAGATTCATTTGTCTACCATAACAACAATAGTTAAAATAATATAGCAATGCGATTAAATTATATTAGTATAAAAAACGGGGGTGGGGTGGGGGGGGTGTGCTAAGTGCGTGTTACTAAGTACGCGTAGCAAGATTACAACAAAATCCGTCCAATCCAATACTGAAAGACAACAATCAAACCCAACATTATTCATCACTAACGCAGCCTCCGCCTCCTCCATATAGAAAAAGAGATGACAAATTGTTCTGGTGATGCTGCAGCTTCGGATGAGATGAGGGTTCTGCGTGAGATCAGACGAGGGTTCTGTGTGGGATAAGATGGGGGAGTTCTGTATGGGACGAGACAGGGTTGAAACCACATCAAATATGATTTAATGAGATGGAACATGGGAGAGAGCCCTCTTGTAAACTTACTGGACGATGCCTTCCCCACGCTGTGCGGGCGGAAACTCAATTAATTTGAAACCCAATTTTGAAATGATTACTGTTATAATACTGCGACCGACTTCCAACACGTACAAAACAATCTGGGAAAATTACGAATCCAACGTCCGACCACGACCTGGGAGGCGGAGCCAGGCCCGGGGCTCCTAGTAGGCCCGGCGGGAGCATCCCCAGTAGCGAGATGTTAACTACCTCGCCTGGTGTGCAGGAGGTCGTGGGTTCGAACCCGACCCTGACGCCTGCTGCTGTATATTTGGAGTTTGCGTGTGTCTCTCTCTCATCATCATCATCACGGTGGCTAGGAGATGTTAACTACCTCGCCTGGTGTGCAGGAGGTCGTGGGTTCGAACCCGACCCTGACGCCTGCTGCTGTATATTTGGAGTTTGCGTGTGTCTCTCTCTCATCATCATCATCACGGTGGCTAGGAGATGTTAACTACCTCGCCTGGTCTACAGGAGGTCGTGAGTTCGAACCCGACCCTGACGCCTGCTGCTGTATATTGGAGTTTGCGTGTGTCTCTCTCTCATCATCATCACGGTGGCTAGATGTTAACTACCTCGCCTGGTATACAGGAGGTCGTGGGTTCGAACCCGACCTTGACGCCTGCTGCTGTATATTTGGAGTTTGCGTGTCTCTCTCTCTCATCATCATCATCACGGTGGCTAGATGTTAACTACCTCGCCTGGTATACAGAAGGTCGTGGGTTCGAACCCGACCCTGACGCCTGCTGCTGTATATTTGGAGTTTGCGTGCCTCTTTCTCGCTTTCTCCCCATGGCCGTGTGGATTTTTTTCTCCGGGTCCTCCAGTTTTTCCCTCCGCATTTAGAATCAACATCTTGCGTTTAGAGCATTTGGCTGCTGTAAATGTGCACGTGATGATGAGCCACTTCGTTGAGCTATTGCCGATAGCCAGGTCGCTACAGAAAAAGAGTTACACGCAGCTCAGTGGGACCGTACCTGGTAGAATAAAAATGGTTTAATGGTTTAGTATTCGTCCACACGCTTGCTAGAGACAGAGAGCTCACTCTAGTGGTCGTGTTAGACTGATCTTCGAAGGGCAACACTGCGGTACGACGTCACCACCACTGCCAATATTCACATCGAATGCACGGCGGGGGTCGATGTTATATCCACACGTCATGTCGCTAATCTCACCGTGCAGTACGAAAGACAACTTGTAAGATCATTGAGGATTTTTTGCCACGTGCACAGTTTTTGCGTTCTCTCTCTCTCCGAGAGTGGAGAATGATTCACCGGGTAGAGAATGCTTCCTTTAGAGTCATGAATGATTAATAGATTAGCACAGTTGGCTATGTGCGGTGGAAAAAGAAGTTCAACATACGTACGGCGAAGAACCGAAGAACCGTCGACCCATTCGCGCTGGGGGGGGGGGCGAGCGCCGCTCTGAAATGTAACGGTGCGGCAAAAAGCCTTTTGCTACCGTCGCGTCGAAAAGACGTTGCGTTGCGCGATTTGGTTACGTTTCAGTTCATATACGGGTTGGGACTGCCTACGCGACGGACATCACCCTCGCACGCACAGCGCAGTGGGGATAGCGATCGCGGTCGGTCTCGCACGCTGCGTGGAGCGGGGGTCGCTTGAAGAAGGGGGGGGGGGGGGGAGCGGCTTGTCAGCAGTAGCTCCCAGGTGTCCGCTTTCCGCAGGGGCAGCTCCCCCCAACACGGAGAGGTGGCACCGCCGACGTAACGCCGATAGCGACAAATCGAAATAACATTGGTGGAAAATAACGAAGCAAATGTTCGAAACTAAAATAAAAGTGGAGTTGCGGCGTTGCTTAGCTCTTCCCACAACGCTTAAATCACTATTTCTTTTCAGTTCCCGTTTCAGTGAAAACACGTTAACAAATGTTTAGCTCTTGACACCTCCCACCACCCCACCAATTGCTGCCATGTTCTCGCAGCGAGCTAAATGTACGGCCCTCGCTTTTGATTGGCTCTTTATGGTCACGTGAGTTACGTGTATAATGGAAGGTGTGGGGGGGGGAGGGGTCGTGCTGAACCACCTATTGGTCACATTCCCGTAACGCCCGGGTTTCCCAAACTCAAGTCCTCGCAATCCTCCCCTCCCCCAACCCACGCTCCGTCTTTCCGCTTTAACCAATCGACTCCTCCCATTTCGAATCAACTCGTCGCACGCCGCACGCGCCCGATGATTGTTACACACGTCCCCCACGTGACACGGTAAGCGATGATGTTTGTGTGCATGTTGAATTTCTTTCGCACCGTACGTATCCAACAGCGAGAATCGGCGGAGGTGCGAGGGAAGGACAACAAACTAAGGATTAAGTTAATAGAGGCGATGCGAATTAAGATTTGAGATCTCGGTGCGCGTGCGTGCGTAAACGTGTGTGCGTTCCACGTAACGAAGAGCTGCAGCTGCGTAACCGTGGCAACGTTAGGGCGGTCGTTGCTGGCGGTCATTGCCCCGTTGTCTGTCGTACAAAAATGAAGTTGGCCCAAATCTGGACGAAGCTTTGATCGCTGGGCCCACGTAACGTACGACTGGACATCTGTGGAACAAAGAGCTTAATAAGCTCATTGGATTCCTCCAGTATAAATATTCCGATTTTGTAGAGCTGCCACCGATGGCATCTGGGGTCTGATTCTGGGCTTCAGCTGCCGCAGTGGCGAGATGTCATCTTCCTCGCCTGGTGTACACGGAGGTTGCGGGTTCGATGCCGACCCTTACGCCTGCTGTATATTTGGAGTTTTTGTGTCTTGCTCTCTCTCCCCGTGGCCACGTGGATTTTTCTCCAGGTCCTCTGGTTTCCCCTCCACATTTTTAGAATCAATGTGTGCTTAAGAGCATTTGGCTGCTTTAAATGTCCGCATTATAAGCCACTTCTTTGAGCTATAATTTGTGATTGCCAGGTCGCTTCTAGAAAAAGAGCGACACAACTCAAGAGGGCCTTTCCTGCTAAAATAAAATAAAACCACTGGAAAAATACTGTAGTTTGGTTTAACACTGGTGGTGGTGAGAAGCCAATAACATGTATTGAGATTTTTGGACTCAAAAAAAAAACGGCAGAATGTACATACATAATGTACACACAATATACAAACATTATGTATGCTGATTAACTGTGAATAACCCAACCAATAACAGACATCCATAGTAATTTCTATGCAAACATTCACCCTCCCCCTCTGGTCTTCGCACTCACAAGTGATGACGTCGCATTTATCCCTCTAAGACCGAAACACAGGAGGAGGATTTCTGCACAATTATGGTTGTCGCCTGACGAGGCTGGTTATAATTAAATCGGCGAAACATCACTGTATTAGAATTGTAAATGTTGTAGTGGGTTTACTCTCCAGCACACAACCGGTGTGTGCTGGACTAGTCACTAATTGGCATGCTTTGTTAACATCACAAAGCCTGACTAATTGGCTGTGTGTGTTGGGTGGTGGCGGGTTCAATGACACATTTATATTTACGGGATCTAACCCAAAAAAGCATGTGTCCAATGTGGATTCTGCGCTCAACATGGAAACAAAATTCCAACTGTTGAGAATTCCAAAAAAAATGTAAACGATCATCTTGACCGCCGTGCGTAAAATTTTTTTAAATTTCTCTGTAGCAGGAAAACGTGGCATGAAAGCGTGGGGCCACTTGAAATGATCTCGGGTTTTTGATAAATATTCCCTTCTTGTGGGCTGTGCCCTAACACATGGGGTGGGGGAAGGCGGGGGCGGGGGCTGAGGCGATGCTCTGTGAGAGTTCCACACAAGACTCTCCCCCCATCTGGTACCACAAAGCTGAAAAGAAAATTTGGAATTAAAATATAATTAACAAAAATAATACTGCGTCAACTAAACGCGCCTCACTCTCCAACCCACTAGCGCTAAACGCCAACAAATACAAACTCCCAGCCAAAGCGTGCCCCTCTTTCACAGCCACGACGGAGGGTATTTATCGGCCTATTCGATCATACAGGTCCGACGTCTGAGGAGAGGTGGGAGGACCCCACACTTTACCACACCGCACGTGACCTGCCAATCGACAAACTCCGGTGTAACCCGTTCGCACACTGCTGAGCGAACCGAGGTCGGGGGACTACAGAAGAAAAGGAAAACGCTTGTCCCATCGTTTCAACCGTCGCACCGGGGGGTCAATTTGACCCGGTGACCCCTGGATCACAACTCCCCGCTCGATACTCATCAGCAAATGTTAATCGACGTGTATATATTCATCGATTCGCAGCCACTACTATCACTCGCCCACCTGCTTGCTTGCATCATAACGCCATCACTCGCTGGAATAAACATTTTATTTTAAGTCTAGTTGTTCTAATCTACGGTTAGGAGTATCTAATAACGCCATCACTCGCTGGAATAAATATATATTTTTTAAGTCTAGTTGTTCTAACTTATGGTTAGAAGTATCAGCTACATAAAAGTATAACATATGTTTGTAGGCACATGTGTATCTGTTTTGTGCGCGTGTAGATACGGGAATCTATGCGTTTCAATTGTACCTGTGCATGCACGCGCGTGCGTGTGTGTGCGTATGGGAAAGTGTGGGGAGCAGTGGTGTAAGCGCTGTGCTACGAACCCGGCGACCCGAGTTTGATTCCTACTCATAGCCACCAACAACAGTGACGATTATCTATACCGCTCCTGGGCTCTCCCCTAGGTTGACTCGGCCTCAAATGAGTACCTGGTGCGTAAACATCACGACTGGCCGGGCGTAGTTGATGGCCACACCACCCTCTCGTATTAACGTGCCGGCCTTAATAGGTTCTCGCTAAGAGCACTTGCCCCAAAATCATGTATTGGGGGAATCTTTGTCTTTGTACGCATGTATTAAAGTGGCCTACAATTGCACCGAGCCTTGCACAAGTGCTGTGGGTGATGTCCCCGCCACTGCATGGTGAACGGCAGCTGTTATTGTTGTTCTATCATGGTAGTTGTATTTTTGTTGTTGTACGTATGTATGCACATGGACTTAGTAGCCTCAAACCATTCACTAGAACGGTCTGTGGCTTTAGGCCATTGAGAACTTGCTTAAAGATCAGCACACGCCATTCATTCAGTCACTCACTGACAATACATCGTACTGACTACATAAGCTAACTAGATAATGCACCGATCCACCCATTTCCCGCCATCCCCCCCCCCCCTCCCACACCGCACCACTGCAGTGGCGTGCTCCTGTGTGCGGCAACAGCCGAGCGGAAGCACGGGAGAGTCCAAGTGCGTCGGGGGCCGGTCGGAGTCGGAGCAGGGATTGCTACCCGTCACAGGAACGCCCACACCTCGAGCTGGTTCACGGAGAAGTCCTCCTGCGTGGAGAGGGGAGCGTTGCCGAACGTGTCGCAGTGGTGGCTGCGCCCGTGGTAGAGGTCCGAGTCGAGCCACAGGCCAAACGCTCCCCTGGGACGAGCAGCACAATGGGAAGAGGGACGGGGGGAAGAGGGGATGATGATGAGCGAGCAAGCGGCGGAATTTTAAGGGAGACTCATCACGTTGGCAACGCCCTGGCCGCTGGTCTCGTTGGCCCCGTTTGTTTTGTCCCAAGCTGTACCGCGGTGTGGCTCTCCCTCATTCAAAATTCCGTCACAGTTCCTATGATCACTGTTTCATTGCTTTCATGGCTTTATTTTGGTGATTTCGAAAAGTATATTGGTTTAGCCATGTTTGTTTGTTGTAGTACAGAGTTAGACTGATGGCCTTAATCTAAGTTGTCTTGTGGTTGTTGTTGGTTGTTTGACTTGCATCCCACTGGGATTTTTGCACACAGCGTTGGTGTACAGTGATTTTTTTTCTGCACTGTTTTGCTGTCTTTTTCTTGGATTTCTGTTTGCACTTAGTCACATATTCACTTTAAGATGTTTCTTGTGCCTGTTTTTGTTTTTTGTTTGTTGCGGTTGCACCCGATTCAAGAGCCGAATGGCTCACAGGGCTATACCTAATACATGAACTTGACCTTGTTTCCCTGCCCTGACTCCTCCATGCACCCCCCCCCTTACCTCCCTTCCACCGTGGTGCAGTCGCTTAAGGACCCTGTACTCGTTCTCTGCAATATTGACGGTGTTTTTGTCTTTTTGTTGTTGTTGCTGCTGTGCTCACGCAGCAGCAGCAAGGGTGTCCCCCTCTCCCGAATAAAATAGCTGAGGAAACTGGCTAAACGGGATCACCATCCGTGCAGCAAATCAAATAAGCAAAAACTTATTTATTCCAACCTGTAAAGTGTCCAGAGATGCGAATGCACTTCGATGATATATATATCATATACAATGTACACATTGTACATGATATGAAGGCATGGGCACCGGCAGACTGGGACACAATTGGGTAAAATAAGAGTGAGAAGAATAAAACACCAAGACTCCCTCACCTTCCACTTCCCATCCCCAGTGAATCCAGGTCCCCCTTGATGAAGAACGTGTTATCTCCGGTCCAGCGGAAAACCTAAACGACAAAGGCAAAGGATCACATCCCCTGTATAGCCTTCAGACTGCTGGGAGCAAGTGCTGTTTTGCGAACAGCACCTATGAATCTTCTTGGTTCTTTCGGTAAAGTCACGTAGAATGGAAATAATAAAATAATAAAAATAAAACATAATAAAATAATTCTCACGACGTTTCGGCCACAACGCAAGCAGCCGTTCTCAGGTGAAGAACAGGTCTGACTCTGTCTTCTCGACAGACCTGTTCTTCACCTGAGGACGGCTGCTTGCGTTGTGGCCGAAACGTCGTGAGAATTATTTTATTATGTGTTATTTATTATTATTTTATTATTTCCATTCTACGTGACTTTACCGAAAGAACGAAGAAGGTGAATCCCTGCAGTCACGAAAGCTTTAAATTGAAAGCACCTATGAAGGCCGGCAAGGCACCCGAGGGGGTTGGGGTGGCCAGCACCACGCCCCGGTCGCTTGCGTCTCCCCCACACCCCATTGCGAATGTTTTACACACCGCACCAGGTTTTCATTTAAGTCTGAGTCGACCTAGGGGAAGCCCGGGACCGGTTCAGATATTCCATCACCGATGTTGGCCGTGAGCGGGAATTCAATTCGGGTCTTCGGGTTCGTAAGGCATCCATCCCAACCCTGACGCCTGTATATTTGCAGTTTGCATGTTCTCCCCGTGGTTGCGTGTTTTTTCTCCAGGTCTTCCAGTTTTTCCCTCCACATTTAGAATAAACATCATGCGTTTCAGAGTATTTGGCTGCTAAACATTTCCACGCGATGATCCACTTCGCTGAACTATCATTTGAGGCCAATGTCGCTTCTCAAAAATAGCTACGCAGCTCAATGAACCTCACCTTGAGGTCGGGGTTAAAGGTGAACAGGAAGCACTCTCCGGTCCCGTAGAAATGTTCGCTGACCTTGAACGGCTCCGAGGCCAAGGCCCCAAACACCTGCAACAGCGCAAGATCAGCGATCTCCCATCGTGACCTTGTGTGCGTAAAACATCACCGCGTTGCACGTGGTGCCGCCTTGGTTTGAGACCGCCGTACCCCGGAGAAGCCAATATCGTGGTCGGAGGACAACGACACAACTGCAAGCAGCGAGTCCTCATTGAACGCGGTCACAGACGCGCTCCCGTATAAATGCCGCGCTCGGCGAATAACGCGGAAGGCGAAAACTATTTCCCAATAAATCATGTAACAATGTGGTTACGATTTACTACGCACAGACAGATGGCGATACAAATTACCGAGGGCACGCCGCCACCGCCGCGTTACTGTATCATTCCACGCACTGTATCACTGTACCGCTCAACCACGCAGCTCAAGAAAGTAGTTTGTCCACAGCTCGGAATCCGCGTTATAACCGTGCGCGTTCCACGTTATAACGGTGCGCGTTCCGCACTATAATGGGACGTGTTCCACGTTATGACGGGATGCGTTGAGTGTTATGACGGTGCACGGTCCGCGTTGTAACGGGGTACGTTTCCGCGTTTTGCAAAAAGTGCTCCCATATGGAAGAACCGCGTATTAGCGAAAATGCGTTATAGTGTGAACACCACGTGTTAAAGCGAGGACTTAACTTACACGTTTTCACCCTTGTTAGGATTAACCAGTGCGGTAGCGCCATCTCACACACACACACTTGCTTGCGTGTGTCCCGTCTCTCACTGGCTCTCGCACACACACACACACACCTGTGTGTGTCCCGTCTCTCACTTGCTCTCTCACACACACACACCTGTGTGTGTCCCGTCTCTCACTTGCTCTCTCACACACACACACCTGTGTGTGTCCCGTCTCTCACTTGCTCTCACACACACACACACCTGTGTGTGTCCCGTCTCTCACTGGCTCACACACACACACCCACCTGTGTCCCGTCTCTCACTGGCTCTCTCACACACACACACCTGTGTGTGTCCCGTCTCTCACTGGCTCTCTCACACACACACACCTGCTTGTGCGTGTCCTGCACGGCGAGCAGGACGGGCGAGCTGAGCGGCGCCAGCGTGCGGTACAGCGTGCGCAGGCTTGTGCCGTGCGTTGCCGTCCCGTACTTGAGTTGCCACGGGTAACCCACAGTGCGCGGGGGCAGGTGGCGTGAGAGCTGCTCCACACAAAGGCAAAGATCACCCGTACAGCCTTAAGCGACTGCTGGGGCAAGTGCTGCCAAGCGAGCAACTATGGAGGCCGGCACGGCCACACAAGGGGGTCGGTGGTCAGCACCACGCCCGATCGCCTTCGTCTGCTTAGCGGCGAAGTGTTTACACATCGCACAAGGTACTTATTTTAGGCGGAGTCGACCTAGGGGAGGCCCAGTACCGGTTCAGAAAATCGTCAATGGTGTTGGCCGTGAGCGGGAATCGAACTCGGTGTTCGTAGCACTGCACACTACTGCTCCCAAACACTCCCATACGCACACTAATAGCCCTGGTGTAGGGTATTCAGACTGTCGGGGTAAAATGCTGTTAGCGAGCACTTGTTAAAACCTATTAACAATCAATTCCCGATCACCAAAATATTCTATGGGAACCTCATTTGCCAGTAAAAATATGATAATTGGTTCTTTACCCTTCTATCTGGCAACAAAACTGACACCTTTTTACAAGGAGTCATGTTTGCATAGACCGCAATACCTGCAGTCATAATACAAACAAAAGAACATAACTCTGATAATGTGCACTGTCCTTGAAGTTGATTGGTCCACACCCGAGACAGCTTTCCTTAGAGCCTAGTCTCATATGGGTTGGACCAGATGACGCCAAAAGGCGCCATCTGGTCCAAGCTGTCTCGGGTGTGGACCAATCAACTTCAAGGACAGTGCACATTATCAGAGTTATGTTCTTTTGTTTGTATTATGACTGCAGGTATTGTGGTCTATGCAAACATGACTCCTTGTAAAAAGGTGTCAGTTTTGTTGCCAGATAGAAGGGTAAAGAACCAATTATCACCAAAATATTGTCGAGAGCTCCCTCCAGCAGAGGCCCTTCCGCCAGCAGTGGCGTGAGCCAGGCAACTGCAGGACTGCGCGCCTTTGCCGGCCCAATCACCAGCATCGCCGTTAGGATCGTGGCCCTGATTGTGACCTCTCAACTCGGACTCTTTGGACCCACCTGCTCCACGTGGAACTGCTGCAGGACGTTGCTTTGGCCAATCAGGAGGGGCCTCAGGACCTCACCCTCCGGATCCGGGGCTGCCCCGTGAGATTGCCGGTTGGGATTGGTCTTCACATTCACCACCTGGATAGGGAATTGCACCCATGAAGAGAAAGACAAAGATCCCCCCTATAGCCTAACAAGACTGTTGGGGCAAGGGCTGTTAGCGAGCATCTACGAAGGCAGGCTCGGTACACGAGGGGGTGGGCAGCCAGGACCACGCCCGACCGACTTTGTCTCTCCAGTGGCGAAGTTTACACACTGCACCAGGTACTCATTTCAGGCCAAGTCGACCTAGGGTAGGCCCAGGACTGGTTCAGATAATCGTCACTGGTGTTTGCCGTGAGAATTGAACCCGGGTCGCTCCCCACGACACACATAAACAGACATATATACACACACAGACCCCCGTGTATCCCTATATACACCAGGGCTGTGGAACCTCTGGTCCACGACTTGGAATTAATTCCGTAGCGCTTCTCAACCAGTGGATCGCGACCCCTGAAAGTCTTTGCCTTTTCAGCGGGTGCGCGGCATGGATACTGTGCAGGGGAGATTTTAGAATGTGCACGGGGGGTGGGTGTCAGCGCCACATTGCAGTGATGAAAACACACTAACATGCAATGTGATACAAATGCCTTGCTGAACTAGTAACCAATTGGCATGTTTTGTTTACGTGACAAACCTTACTAATTGTCTGTGTCGGGTGGTGGCGGGTTTAACGACACATTTATATGTATGCGATCTAACCCAAAACACCTCTATTATGGATAATACTGATCGCGAAAGCCTACGTGTTAAACTGCCTTGCTAACATCGCGTTGACTAGCGACGTTGACATGTGATTTCTCTGTGCATTCCGACCTTAGTAACATGAGGCAGGGGGGGGGTGTGGGAGATACAGGGTGGGCAAGTGGGGGGGGGGCATAGGGATTAGTGGTTTATATTTTTGAAAAACTATAAACTACATTTTATATTTTACCAGGTAAGGTCCACTGAGCTATACAGCTCTTTTTCAGAAACGACCTGGCCACAAATGATAGCTCAACAAAGTGGCTTATCACGTGGAAATTTATAGCAGCCAAATACTCTAAATGCATGTGGAAGGAAAAACAGCCGGACCCGGAGAAAAATCCACGTGACCACGGGGAGAACACGCAAACTCCAAATATACAGACGTGAGGGTTGGGATCAAACCCACAACCTCATTCATACCAGGCGAGGTAGTTACACATCTCGCCACGCTACCCGGAATCGTGAAAAAATTAACCCGTAAAAACAAAGTTTTTCACTATAAATCCTTTATATGCGTGGCGGCTAGAGTCCTCTCGTCCTCTGGCTTGAGATGGCTGCCACCTATGGGTCAGATGATTGCCTGCCACCATTAAGCAATTGGTAATTAAATATAATTAATTTTTTCCTAAAAAGTGTAACATTTTGGAAAAAAAATTTTCACGAAAATAAATTGTCACGCACAACGAGTCTGTGTGCAAAATGTCAGCTCGATTGGATCACGGGAAGTGGGTTAAAAAACCACCGAAAAATGTGCACGGTCGTAAGCGCACAAGCAAGCAAGCAAGTGAACTTAATATAAAGGATTTAAAAAATGTGTCGGCTCACATGGGAGGTGAACGATCAAGTCCCTACCTGCCAGCCTCCGTCTTCCTTGCTGTAGTAATCCTCTATCATGTCCATCACGACCTCGGCCTTCACCAACACGCACACTCTCCTTCCTGTATGGACGCACGCACGCACGTGTCGCGAGCGAGTGAGCGGGAGGGAAGGGTGTGTACAGAGGTTGGCTGGGAGGCCCAGGAGGCTCACAATGGGGCCGTGTCGGAGACGCTCAGCCGGCGCCGCCGACATCCTGGGTTCGAACCCGGGTGCCAGCCGCCTGTGATTAAACCGGGTTCCCCCAGATGCAGTGAGTTGATGAAGGTCTCAACCTGGTCACCGACGACTACAATAAAAAAAATATCACGTTAAATGTGGCTTTTGTAGCGATGAAAATTGACAGGTGGTGAATGCTTTCTGCTGGGCCTGCAAAGGGTGTCCTGATGTGGATAAAGAAGATGCAGAACATAGGTGTGTGTGTGGGTGTGCAGAACCAGTTAGATAAAGATCCCTCATATAGCCTTAACAGACTATAGGGGCAAGTGCTGTGAGTGAGCTCCTATGAAGGCCGGAACGGTATACGAGGGGGTGGGTGGCCAGCACCACGCCCGACCGCCTTTGTCTCCCTAGCGGTGATGCTTACACATCGCACCAGGTACTCATTTGAGGCTGAGTCGACCTAGGGGAGGCCCAGGATCGGTTCAGATAATCGTCACTGGTGTTTTCCGTGAGCGGGAATCGAACCCGGGTCGCCGCTCCTCAGTTAGACACACACAGAGACGTACATTTTGTGATTAAACAATGATACAGTCAACAAAGATTCTCCCCCCCCTCCGTGTAGCCTTTCGCAGGTTTTGTTGGGCAAGTGCTATTCGCGAGCACCTATGAAGGCCGGCACGGCACACGAGGGGGCAGTGTGGTCAAGACCAGGCTCAACCATCTGTCTCCCCAGTGCTGCATACACACCGCACCAGGTACTCGCTTAAGGCCGAGTCAATGTAGGGGAGGTTCAGAACAGGTTCAGATATCACTCGTCACTGATATTAGCCATCGTCGGCAATCGAGCTCAGGTAGCTGGATACTAAGCGCAGCATGCAAACCGCTATGCCAACACTCTACCGCATAAATACACATACATAGGCATTGCATCACTCTCGCACAAACACACACACATGCGCAACAAACCAAAACAAACACACACGTACAGTACGCAATCATGCTTTTAGCTAATTTCATGAACACCGGCAAAAAGGTCTGCAAAGTGGCAAACAACTAAGAACACCCACAGCAGATAAGAACACATTTCTTGAATTGAGCAAGTTTATAGGACCTCAGGGAAAGAGACGGCGAGAGGCTAGAAAGTCAAGGGCCACGCAGGTACTAGGCAACCTTTGTCTCTCCCACAATCACGTGGCAGCAAGTACTGATTGTAGACAGAGTTGATCCAGCAAAGGCCAGTTTCAGAAATCAACAAGCCACGTGGCCAGGAATCGAACTCACGTTGCCGATTGTAGCACAGGGTGCTCAAGCCACAGCACCATCGCTCCAAAGATAAAGATCTCCCATGTAGCTACTACAAGCCGTATAAGCAAGTGCTGTTAGCGAGCACCTATTAAGGCCGGAATAGCAGGGGGGGGGGGTGGTGGTGTGGCCAGCACCATGCCCAGCAACATTTATCTCCCCAGTGCTGATGTTTACACACCCCACCAAGTGGTCATTTCAGGCCGAATCAACACAGGGGAGGCCCAGGACAAATTCCGATATCACTCACCGCTGATGTTGGCCGTGGCTGACAAACCGAGCCAAGGTCGCTGGGGGTACGTAACGCAATGCGCTAAACACTGTACAGCCGCTGGCACCCGTCAATGTAATCACCAGCCATGCTCTACCCACTGCTGGACAAAGGCCAACAATCGATCTAGCTGCTGCCCACAAGGTGAACGGATTACTTCTGCTCTGCGGTAAACGCACGCTCGGTTCAGGCGTTTTTCTCTCTCGTTTGTCTGTCACACCCGTAGCGAGTCTCGATGTCGAGTCCGTGTCCCAAGCCCACTTACTTTTCTTAACAGCATATAACAGTCACTGTTTTCTCCCCCCCCCCCCCTACAGCCACACAGAGGTTGTTTTAAGGTGATCGAGCACAAAACGACCATACACACACACGTACAAATGTTTACATGTCAACACAAGATTCCAAATCTGTTATTGCCACAAAGTCATGGGTGACTTCACATTCCACTCAAGCTGGAATTGTATAACTGTTGTTGGGAAATTGTGGGGGGGGGGGGGGGGGTCCAAATAAAAAACATGTTTTTTGGATCGGTCTACTTAAACACAACTAGGGGTCGGCACGGTTTGGCTCAAACCACCAAACCGCGGTTTGAACCGAACCAAATCGGTTTGGTTTGGCTCTGTTTGAACTGGTTCGGTTTGGTTTGGGGCTACGAAAACCGACTCGGTTTGGCTCGGACAGGGTGGAACCGGCTCAAACTAGTTTGGTTGGTTGTAAAGGCCGAGTACAGCAATATCAAGGACATGATGACGGACATTCTCAACCAGCGCTACCCAGCGTTGACGACGGACGCGGCGCCAAAGGCGGCGCCGCGTGGCGGCATTAACATCCTCTTTGACATGGTCTACGCGCCCAACGCTCACGACGGCGCCGCCTCCGAGGTCGACCGCTTCCTGCTTGAGCCGACTCAGGACCTGAGCATGGACGTCGTCGAGTGGTGGAAGCTGTACGGCGGCAAGTACCCGCGCCTGCGACGCGTGGCCCTCGACTATTTGCCTATCCCGGCGTCGTCCGTGCCCTCCGAGAGAGCAAACTCGGCCGCCAAGCGCTCCTTTCTCGACCGACCAAACCTGCACAAGTGCACGTTCAAGGCCGAGATGTGTGTGCGCTCGTGGGCGCGGATGTTGCCTAGTGTTGGGGTTTCACTGCCATTGAACTACCACACTGCGTTCAAGGACATTGGGCGTGCCAAGCTTGAGGAGATGGCTGTGGACGACATCGTCGTCCAGTACTTGCTAGTGAATCTCAATATGAAGAAAGCCTGCGTAGAAATTAGCGAGTAATACACTTGATATTTGTATTGAATGCGAATATTGTTTGCCGCGCATCTTTTCGGTTCAAGCCAACTCAAGAGGTTTGGTTTAGCTTAGTTTGGTTTGGTTTGGTTCAGTCGTCGCTGGTTTGGTTTGGTTTGCTCAATTTGAAACCAGTTTGAGTCGGTTCAAACCGTGCCGACCCCTAAACACAACTATATTTGTGCCGACTTTTAGATTTCCAACCGTCACAGACCATCTTCTTTGTTCTTTCGGTAAAGTCACGTAGAAGTCACATAGAAGGGAAATAATAAAATAATAAAAATAGAACATAATAAAATACAATTCTCACGACGTTTCGGCCACAACGCAAGCAGGGAAATAATAAAATAATAAAAATATAACATCATAAAATACAATTCTCACGACGTTTCGGCCACAACGCAAGCAGGGAAATAATAAAATAATAAAAATAGAACATAATAAAATACAATTATCACGACGTTTCGGCCACAACGCAAGCAGGGAAATAATAAAATAATAAAAATATAACATCATAAAATACAATTCTCACGACGTTTCGGCCACAACGCAAGCAGGGAAATAATAAAATAATAAAAATAGAACATAATAAAATACAATTATCACGACGTTTCGGCCACACAACGCAAGCAGCCGTCCTCAGGTCCTCAGGTGAAGAGCAGGTCTGTGGCCGAAACGTCGTGAGAATTGTATTTGATTATGTTCTATTTTTATTATTTTATTATTTCCTTTCTACGCGACTTTACCGAAAGAACCAAGAAGATGAATCCCTGCAGTCACGAAAGCTTTAAATCGAAATTCGTCACAGAACACTTCTGGAATCTGCATCATTAGTTACAAACTGGATGAGATTTAAGAGACTATGTGGATACAAATTTGGGATCAGCAACACGTACAAGTATGGCTATTCTGGCCCCTGCCGTTGGAATGTGGAATTACCACCAATGGATCTAGGAAGGGAGATATGACTTTTGATTTCACAGGGTTAGAGTCAGGGTTAGGTGACACAGGTAAAGTTAGGGTCACTATCAGGTTTCGGGCTACGGTCAGGATTATGGCCAGTGAGAGGCACTGCTGGACAGAGGTCGCAAACGGGTTTTGTTTCCTTACCCGTACCCGGCCGCACCAGGGTCGCAAATGGGTACCTGTACCCGGGTACCAGTACCCGGCCGGGTACGGGTACCCGTTCCCTACCCGTACCCTACCCAAAATGAGTGACAAACGGTTACTCACCAGTGACTCACGGCCTACCCGTACCCGGCCACACCAGGGTCGCAAACGGGTACCCATACCCGGCTGGGTACGGGTAGCCGGGTATCGGGTAGGGTACGGGTGTCGGGTACCCGGTTGCGACCTCTGCTGCTGGATGAGGGCATCGCCCACGCCGTGGCAGTCACGGGCGCTTGTTTTTACACGCTTTTAATTTATTTAACTCAATCCGTCTGTTGTCGTCGTATCCTTAAAAAATCTTGTAACTCAATTTTACCCACTTCCCAATGTGCTATCGACTGCAAACTTGGTATACTTATGTCATACTGATGACAAGACTATGTTCTATCATAAAAAAATAAAAATAAATTTTTAAACATTTTACACGCTTTTGTTTAACTCACTGTCTGTTGTCGTATCCTCAAATCTTGTAACTCAATTTCAACCGTCTTCCCAATGTCGTATCTACTGCAAACTTGGTAGAGGTATGTCATACAGATGACAATACTATATTCTATCATTAAAAATAAAAAAATATATTTTTTTAACAATCTTTTTTACGGGTCTAATTGTCCACGCTCAACTCACGTTGGCTGTAAATCACCACGGTCCCTTACGTCACGGCAAGCCTCGGGGCCACTTCCTGAAGTCGTCGAGTTCTGCCATTATGAGTACGGTACATTTCATTATAGCGTATTTTTTTATAAAGTATTTTTAAATATTGTATTAACAAACTTAACCACGCTGATCAGTGGGGCTTGCTGAAAGTGAACGGACATACGAGAGCATAAGAGAGTGCAGTACAATGGATTTTGCCACACTTCCCACTGACGCCAACAACGTAGCCACGCGGCAGCCTATAACAACACACCGCTGTGCACGGCGATCGCCCAAGAATTTTATCGAAAGCTCAACCGTATTTAGCTTCCGAGATGTGTGGAGATTAGGCACATTCCCTGGTGACTTAGTCATATGTTATTTGGTGGAAAATTCCGCACAAGTAATTTAAGGCAGTCGAGGGGAAACCATTTAATTAATTCGGCCACGCTCAAGTTCAGCCCCTTCATCTCGCTTAGGGCCCCAATAACATGATTAAGAGTGCTCCAACTGGCCCCCGTCACGCGAATGTGGAACTTCCACCGATGGTTCTAGAAAAAGGAATATTTGACATTTTGGTTATGGGGTTAGGCTTGGTGTTAAGCTCAGGGTTCGGTTCAGAGTTAAGTCAGGTCAAGGGCTATATGGTGAGGATAACGGTCAGTGAGAGGGTCAGGGTTACAGTCAGGGGCACAGAATGATCTATAGCCCATTTTGACAATCCACTGATAGACAGAGGTCGCAACTGGGTATCCGATACCCGTACCCTACCCGATACCCCGCTACCCGTACCCGGCCGGGTACGGGTAGGCCGTGAGTCACTGGTGAGTCACTGTTTGTCACTCATTTCCCAACGTCTTGTCTCACAATTCAAGTCCCTAGAATCAACCCACCCGCGCCTGCAACATGGCTTCATCCCAGAGGTCGCAATCAGGTACCCGTTCCCTACCCGTACCCTACCCGAAATGAGTGACAAACGGTTACTCACCAGTGACTCACGGCCTACCCGATACCCGGCCGGGTACGGGTAGCCGGGTATCGGGTAGGGTACGGGTACCCGTTTTCGATCCTGGTGCGGCCGGGTACGGGTAAGGAATCAAAACCCGTTTGCGACCTCTGCTGCTAGATGAAGGCCACCCCACGCCCTGTAGCTAACGGGAGTAGCTTAAACATAGAGTACTTCAAAGCGTTGCTAAATGGGGGCCCTTGTCATGCCGTGCTGGCTCGTGGCTGCGAGGGGTAATGCATAGCTGTCAAACCCTTATCAGTGCCAATCTTATTACAGACCAATTCATACTTTATTGGTCACCCCGTGCCACTTGTAAATTTCAACGCTCAGCCTACAAAGTCCCATCACAAGGGAGAAACACAAAAGTTATGTTACTAAAGAAAAACTGTTTAATGTATTAATTTTCATTTTGATAATTGGTGTCAATGATGCTACTTATCATGCTACTGTCTGTGATCTTGGATGCTGATGCTGCTTGCTTGATATGTGGATGCACACACATTACTGTCAACCCCTTATCACTGCCCCTACCTTATTACAGACCAATTCAGACCTTATTGGTCACCCCGTGCCCCTTATACATCTCAACGTTCATACTACAAAGTCCCATCACAAGGGAGAAACACAAACAAATAGACAAAAAATAATGTTTCCCGTATCGAAACGGCTGTGCGTCGTATGGACCTTAAAACTCAATTTCCCTGTACAAGAATACGGGGTAAACCCTATGGGTTTGACAGCCATGGTAAACATGACCACACGTCACTACGCCGGTCCAGCAAGTGGGTTAAACATGTCAATTGCATCCGTTACAAAAACAACAAAATATACCACGGCCACAGACGGATTATAACATCTAAAAAACAACCCCACGTGCATTTTAAAGCTCCG